TCCACAAGATATACCTTAAAAGAGCTAGATTACAAAATCACATTAAATTAGATAGCTCCAAGATAGTACATGCTCAGTTGGTTATAGTAATATGTTATAATATTAAATAGTGACTTGCTGGATATGTGCAACTGATTAACCCTTAGGAAGATAATTTAGAACCAGTTAGAGGTATTGAAATTATAACTAGAGATTACATATCTTGTAAATCAAGAAGGTGGAAGAGCCTCCCATCAAATTCATTGGAAAAGGAGAAAATAGGAAACCAGATTTATCATAGCATGCTTGGTTCAACAACATCAATAATTCAGGGCTCTGGAGAAACCCTGGTTTATTGTAAATGAACAGCATGCTCTTACATGCTGCCAACTAAACAAATTCCACATCTTCCACCCACAGTTTATTTAGCTTTGTGTGTGAACTGAGAACTCTAGCTTCTCTGTTCCCTGGTAAGCCAGAAACATAAGCCATGGTTTCTGACTGGTTTATGATTCTGACTTCTCAGAGGAAAGACAAGAGAAAGTCCCCAGTGTGAGAGGCATTACATTTTCCAGAAGAGGTTTAGTCACTGCTACTCACAGCTTGAACATTTGGGCAGCATGAATGAGCACTCTGTCTCTAAACAAAAATAAGGCAGTGTTCCCATAAAACCTTTCCTTACTGTTACATGCTAACCAAGTACAATATAATACTAATATATAAGCCAGTATCTATTATTATGTATATTAATGAAAATAATTTCTCTAGGAAATACATGGTAAACAAACAAGAATGAATAATTTATTCTGGGACACCTACAATATGTTACATTTTGTATTCCAAAATCTAAGTGCAAACTACAAAATACATAGAGCATTGATTATTTTATAGGCATGATGTTTGTTTGTTTGTTTGTTTGTTTAATAAATCCTTATGCAATAGTCCCAACCCAGACTTTCCAGGCAGTGAAAAAGTGTTAATAAAAATTTTTTTCCTAGGTGAAGCACATTTTTCAAGAAAAAGTATAGCTAGGTATGTCCTTCATGAACGATGCTACATATACATTTTACCTATTCAGGAAATGGTTTCAGAGTACAAAAATCATTTGAAGTGAAGCTCAGATTATTGGTCTTAACCAACAGCAAAGTGCTGTTATTTAAAATGAGGACAACAAATCTTCCAAACACCGATGAGAATATTTCATTCACCTGTCAAAATGTTCAACTTTTCTTACTGGGTTAGCAAGAAAGCTTTACTTCAGTACATAGTGGTACTTCAAATTTTGTAGGTATTGCAAAGCATGGTTCTGGATGACAATGCCTAAACTCTGCACTGGAACGCCTGTGCCACCAGAAATAGGGAAAGCAAGTTATACAGGTAACTGAGCTTGTCAAGTAACTGAGCATGCAGGTATGTTTTAGAGGAGTTTATCATGCAGTTATAATCATGTATTGTGCAACCTATGTTTATTGCACAATACATGGAATATCAACAAGTGATATTCAACCTATCCCATACTGGTCTTTATCATTCCTGCCAGTGTGCACTGCTGGCAGGAATGATAAAGACCAGTATGGGAACAAACTACCATTTACATACTGGTCTTTGTTTCAAAAAGGCTGATACACTGGATGTATGCCATTCTTCTGCAAGACTTTCATATCAACACAATTATTATTCATTTTCACATGCATACTTTAAAAGATATGCATGTTTTATATAGATGTTTAAAATAAGGTTTGTGTTTATAACAGGGTTGTTGAAGAGAGCTACATAAATGCACTGAATGGACAGAAAGATGAATAAATGGGTCCTAGATCATATCAAGCCAGAACTTTCCCTAGAAACAAAATTGACAAAGCTGAAGCTGTCTTACTTCAGGCACATGATGAGAAAGAAATATTCACTGGAAAAGACAGTCATGCTAGGTAAAGTCAAAGGCAGAAGAAGTAAAGGAAACACAGAAACATAGAAAACATAGCAAGTCAGAAGGGAACTCCAGGGCCATCTAGTCTGACCCCCAGCTCCAGCAGGTTCTGCTCATGGGATGCCTACCATGTGCATGTCCAGCCTATCTTTGAACACCCTCACCGATGGGGCCTCAACCACCTCCCATGCAAGCCCATTCCATACCCTAGGAGTCCTAACTGTCAGGAAGTACTTCCTGGCATCTACCTTGAACCTTGGTTCCCTGAGCTTTAGTTGGAAGACCAAATGGATTGGATTGACTCAATAAAGGAAGCCACAGTCTTGAATTTAAATGAGCTGAACAAGGTTGTCAAGAACAGAAAGTTTTGGAGGGTATTCATTCTTAAAGTTGCCACAAGTCAGAGCTGACCTGATAGCACATAACAAATAAAAATTTTCAGGAGTGCCTTGGAAAGGAGAATTGATCTAAATTAACATCACTTCTGCATAACTGTTTTGTTCATTTATACTCTGTTTACCAAGGCACTCAACAGTCTATTTTATCTAAGAGCATGGAACTGGGACTCAGGCAATCTGAGTTCTAGTCCTTGCTTAGCCATGGAGCCAACTGGATGACTTTGAGCCAGTCACAGATGCTCAACCAAACCTACCTCATAGGATTGTTGTTGTGGGGATAAGGTTGAGAGTGGAAGGGTGAATGATGTAAGCCTGTTTGAGTTCCTTAAAAAAGAAGGTAGGATAGTAAATAAATAAAATTTACCTGTTAACCACAAAGAAAAAAGCAACAGAACAAAAATTATCTATAATATTGGATATCATAACTAAATAATTATGGTGATATTCAACAAGTGTCCTAATGAACACTAAACATCTGAGAACATTTTAAAGCATCATCTTTTCATGCATGCACATCCCTATTTCTGCAAGGATGGGCCTGGGGCTACCTGAAAAGACCTTGGGCCAAGTCCCTGTCAACTTAACCTGCAAGAGACCACTAAACTGCAAGAGGCCTCTGCCACATCTGCAGATCCGTACCTGTAAGTAGATTAATATTTGCTGTTAAGGTACTATCTTACAAGCATTACCAAATAGATTAGTTTTGATTTGTAGATTCTATCCCACCTTACTGGTTTTGGATCAGATTCCTCCAAACAGTCAAGTTATGTTGAAGCCAAGCTCCATTTCAAAGGTTGAACTTCCCAATTTCAACATACCACTCTACATACTGTGGATTTTACCCACTGAGCCAGGATCAGTTAAGGTTTTGATAATAACCTGTTGTGATAATATGCCTTTCAGATGCTGATCAACACAAACAAATGTTCTGCTTGTGCACTTTGCACAGGCACCTAGTTACCCACTGTGTGAATCGACTAGATATTCCCTTGGAAGAACATGGCTCTTCTTATGACTTTCCTGCAAAGCTGTTCTCAAGCTTAGTCAAGGGATATGTTGCTAACAAATCATCAATTAAGCAATGATGCAGAGGATTTTCAAGCAGAAAAAGAGTTATATATCTCTTATACAAACTATAATCCAGTTAATGAAAAAGGATGTCTCATGAGTGTGATGCTCAGGCACAAACTGCTATAACATTACAGATTAAAAATAGTTAATTGTTCTTGCTGAGTTGACACACCATATTCAACTTCCAGTAATGTATTTGCACTGGAAGACATACCACTGAAACTGAAGGAGAGCATCGTGCACATTCAACAGTATTTCTATTTTGATTCCACTTCTGTTTTGTTCAATAATAGCAGTCTTAAGCATGTCTACAAGATCCAATGAGACTTACTCCTAGGTAAATGCCACTGAGTAAAGGACATATGGTATTGTGCCGCAAGTTACTTATTTTCTGACAGGCTGGTAAATTCATGCTGTAAATGATGACACAAGTACCACCTTTATTAAGAAGACTGGGGTACTCACTGAAAGCAGAAGATCCTGTGTACTCTTAAAGGTTATGCAATGTAATGTAATCTCAAGAAGAAGCACAGCTCACTTATTTCTGGAATGCTGTTTTCAGATCCACAACTGGCAGCATTTTGCATTACCAAGTACAGTCCACAAAGAGTTTCTGGAACTAGCGCAAACAGTGCTGCTTGGCAAGCTTATCAGTCTAGTTTTGTCCTTTCCTAGTGAAACCAAAAGATTCTGCAGCAATGATACATTGACTTCCGGGAACCCAGCACTTCAAATCAATATAACTTTTTAAACGGCACCCGGCTGTCCCAGTTTTAGGTGCTGCTCCCACAAGCACCTTGGGTTTTTCTCTCTATTGCTTAAAGTTCTGCCATAATGGAACCACAACCTATCGTCTAAGAGGTGTCAATGGAACAAAGGCGTCTCAGTTTGCATGCTCTCTGACTTCTAGTACAAGAACGTTGCAATATGAAAAATACGGCTGTCTCTTCCATAGAAATCTATGGAACTCTGGCGATCTGAAAGAAAGCACTTATTCCTGGCGGAGGGCATATGCAAATAACTGACACGTCCAAGGACTGATAGCTTGGTAGAGACCTGCAGTCTCACACATTTGATAATTCTTGGAAAGGATTACGTTATGCACGCTTCAGGAATCTCCTGGAGTCTTCCAAATACACTAGAACTATAAAGCAGGTTTTTTTGGGGGGGGGCGGGGGCGGGGAGCAGATGAAGAGGTGAATACGAAACTCACCGAAATCGTCAGTGTTTTTCTAATTTGTGTTTTATCTTCACCGTGTTTGGCTGTTGCCTTATTCAATGGACCCTTCCCGGAAAGATTTACTGGAAAAGACAGCTCCCCAGGAACAGGGGAAAGCACCTGTAACAACAAGGCCGCAATTCTGGAAGAGACTTGCCAGCAGGCATTTAGTCCCGCAAACTCGTAGGAGGAGGCGGATATTCTCGGCTGCATTTGGCATGAGGACGCCGCTTTTCCCAAAACCTGGCTCAGGAGTACTCGCTCAGACCTGTCTGCAAGTTGCCCTAGCCAGTCCCCCATGCGCCTCCGAGAGATTCCGGGCATCTCTTCCCAGCGATGCTGGGAAGGAAACGCTTCTAGTTTCGCTCTGAGGAAAGCCTGGGAAAACCCCGCCGCAAGGCTGAGGGGATAAGAGCGAGCGAATGAGAGCAGAGGCTTGGCACAGCGCACCGGGCGGCGACGCGAGAGGCACCGGCGGCTGCGAAGCGCAAGGTAGGTCGGCGCTGCAAAGCTGAGCAGGGAGCGAGAGCGGCGCCCTAGACTCCAGAAAGGGGCGGGCGAGAGGCTCTTCGCCCCCTCGAGCGCCTCCTCGGCCGGGTTCTACGCGCGGCGAAGCGGCAAGGCAGGCAGGCGAGCGAGCAGGGCGCTTGCGCTTGTTGCCAAAGGCGAACGCTCCGTCTGCGTGCGCGGAGCCGCTCCCCTTCCTTACCATGGAACATGGTCCGCGCGGAGGGAGTTTGCCGCTCATGGCGGTGCCAGCGTCGCGCCCATCGTGCTGTCGCCCGGAGGCTGTCAGCGGCCCGCTGCGCGAGCTTGTTCTTTTCTTTTGCTTTTTGAAATGAGAGTGGCGCGCCGCAGCGCTTTTTTGCAGTCTTGTCTTCTGTGCGAGCACTTTCCGGGAATGGAACAGGTAGAATTGCCGTTGGAGGGAGCCGTGCCAGACTTGACTGGGCTTTTTTTCCGCCTAGGAGACTTCCGTTGGATCAAGGTAGTTTCGCTTTCCAGCAGCGGTCAGAGCAGCTAGCGATGAAGGGAAGCAGTGGGCCGGTCAGTATAGGGCAGCTGTGGCCCGGCTGCCAGGAAGGTTCGAGTTCTTTCACCTGTTGAGGGAAGGTCAAGAGGCGCCCCCGTGAGGTGTGCGCCGAAGGCACGGGTGGCTACCGCGCCTTCGCAGCGAGCAGTGAGAAAGCTCTTCAGCGCTTCGCCGAGGTTCCCAGGCGAGAGGCGTGGACGGAACAGCTTGTGAGTCTTCTTGCCCCGACTAAATGGCAGAGGAGGTGGGATTGGTCGGGTCTCCACTCCCAGCTCCCCCATCCGTGTGTTTACAGAGGTAGCAGCCAAGGCTGTATGAATGGATGGAAAGAACCATTCATGGAAAAGTCAGAAAATGGGAGCTTGGGTGGGGTTTTCTCAGAGGGAGGGAGCTGGCAAGGTCCGACTGAGCAGCGACTGTAGCTTGCGAGATAATCAAATTAGAAGGATCTTTTTCTTCTACAGAACTGCCCTTTTTGTTGGAGGTCGAACTCGTCACCTTCTCTGTGGGGAAAAGGAAGACTCTTCCAAGGCTCAGGGCTGGCGGAAGGGCTGAGAGTTGCCCTCCGTGAACATACATACCGTTCTTCTAACATAGTGTGCAGCTTGGCATTTTCCTGTTCTGTTCTACTGAGATTCTGAATGAAATGGACTAATCTAATCAAGTCGACATGTTTGCTTTAGGGAAGTTCATGTCACAAGTGCAGACAGGTGACTCAGCGACTTTCACTTCTGCTTGTACAGGATTCTGTAGTTGTATTATTTTACCAGAACTAAGTTGTGCTTGTAGTTTGATACTTCCAATGGAGAGAACATTTCTACTGTGAAAAGGGACACACTAAACCTCTCAGGGTCATTCTAGGTGATGGCTGTGCCTCATTCACAGAATTTACAGGGTGTTGTTGGGAAAGTCCAAATAAAACTTTTAAATAAACAGATATGCTTTTGGGTGGCCTTTTATTATAAAGTCAGGCAGCAGTGCCCTTGTTCCTCTTCCCTAGAATGGACTAGAACTTTTCGCCCAGCTCCACAAGCCTGAGAAAGTAGATAGCGCCTGAGGCTTGGGAAAACTATGCATTCATCTGCAAACTGAATCAGCCAAGCAGCCCTGGGCTAACAGCAGCATTGTATCAATAGGTGAGAATATTTAATCCCTCCAGGAATGCGGGCACGTGCATTAACTCTAAAGTGAAACATTGCACTCTATTGAAAAGTGAAACAAAGTATCCGACCAGCTCTCCAGCAGCGGTGCTGAACAGATTTCCTTATGTTAATACAATCACACACCTGGGACCAATTATGATTCGTATCACTCGGTTATTTGCCTAGTGACCGTTCAGTCTCCCTGCATTGGTGTAACATTTTGCAATATCCTTTCTGTAGTTAATCCTGTATTGCTCCATTCATATTTGTATTGTTCTCTGAGAATGTAACCATTTGTTCCACATCATTGCTCCAAACTGGGTACGTGACCCACAACCTATAAGCCTTCTGTTTATGCTCAGGGATCTCATAGCCAGTTCTGTATACAGACAGAAACAACTGTCACATAACACATGGTCTTTTACGGAAATATGCAGCAGTTGTTTAAACCTCACACAACCCATAATTTCTAGGTGTGGACAACATGACAAGCTGCAGCTTTAATATTCAAAATGGCCACTTGCCACTACCACAGCCAAGTAAGCCACAATGGGCTGTTCAATTATGCAAGTCAGCCAAATACACCACTAAGAACAGTTACCACTAAGAACAGCTTTCCTAGCCTTTAAAAAACAACAACTCCTTTTCATGCTTTTCCCTACCATTTCCTACGAAGGCAGCATCAGATGAGAAAGTATCATGGTGTGATAAAAGCCTTATCTGGAAGCACCTTTGGGGTTTTCCACCATTTTTTCTTGCTTCTTACCACAAATGTATTAAAGAGAGAAAGACAGTATAGCTGGATATGCAATTTGATTGATAGTGCTATTAATTCACAATCAGGAAACATACCAAATCTCTGGGAAGGAAGAGAGAGTAAGAGGAAAGCGATATAAAGACAGTCAAGTTTGGGGCTGATGCACAAAAAGTGCAGCATTGTGTGGTATGTTATGGACAGCTAAAGTTTCAAAGGCAAACAGCTCAGCACTGAGATATCTGGGCATAAGGTCAGGGGCAGATAATCTTCACTAAAGTGTTGTATTTCTGATAGCCAACACAAGAGTACTCAAACTAAACAGGTAAGAATAGGGCACTTTGATTCTTTAAAGATCAACTTTAACTGAGTGAATCTTATCTGCAGCCTTTTCTTACTGAAAGTTTATTATTCTGTCTCAACTAATTGCTTAAGAAAGAACAGTTAAGTTCAGCGTATAGCTGAATTTAAGCAAAGAAAAATTATGCAATGATTTGTGAAGGAAAATTCTGAGCAAACAAAAACATTGCTATGCCCGATACTATATTAAAATATTCAAAATTGCCCGGAATATTGTAACATGCATTTTCACATTAGCTTTGCAAGAATAATTCATAAAAGGCATCCTAGGGAAGGGTTGTGGGTAATAGCACCAAAGGGCTTGCTTTTCAGTGCCTAGGTTGGAACAGGTAGCCATTTCCTCAGCTAAATCCTTTGTTGAACTACTTATTAGAAGATTGCGAGGAGCTATTTCTTTGCAACTGATCTTCAAAGACTTCCAATTTCATAATCTCTATTGCAGTCCATGTAACTGGAATGGTAAAGATTCAGTTAACTGCTCAAGATACACACAGTTCTGATTCGGTGATAAAGTGAAAAGATCAAGCTGGGGCACCTTTCCCAGGAATAAACAGAATATGTTCTTCGAGAATATGACACTAACTACAGACTGACAGTGTAAGGTACAGTTCACTAATAAGTAACTGGAACTGTGGAGTATATTTTTTCCTTGTGGTATTCTTCAAAAATGTGGATTACAATTTGGGAATGAATTCTCATTTCTCTTACAAACATGAATTGCACAGTTATTCAGGAACATTCTAGACTGAAACCTTTAAACTGCTCTTCATAGTTTCTGAAATGCAATGTCATTTATTTTTACCATGTGTTGTCTTCTATATTTGTATGCAAAGGTGCCTGGTAACTGCCAGAAACCATTATGATAAATAGTGAAAGGAAACTCTCTCTCTGGTCTAATTCAGCTTTTTCTAACCTGGCAAACTCCAAGTTACAACTCCAAGCATTCCAGAGCACAGTCCATGCTGGTGGGGGGACAAAGTCCAAAACATCTGGAGAACTCCACATTTGGGAAGGCTTATCTCATCTGGGAATGAGCAAAGTGGGGCATGCTGAGGTGCCCAGCCTTCTCATTAAAACCACACATGCACAGAGACACTGGAGTGAATTGAGTCTTTTGTGCCAGCATCTGGGGTAGCTTCAAAGCAAATTGAGGGCCAACAACCACTGCCATCTTTATTTCTCCATCTGAAATGCCATCTGAAATGGAAATGCCATCTGAAATTCAGATGAATATGTTAAATGGATGCAGGCTGATGCTTTCTTCTGCAGCTCACCCTGTAGGAAGGCACAGCACTCTTCATGTCTATATGGGAAACTGGATGGGAACCAAAGACAGCAACAGCAGGAGATTAAAGAGGGCAAGGAGGGAAGTAAGAAGGTCAGCAACAAGCCAGCTGTGGTGGCGGTGACTGCTAACTGGGAGCAACCTGTGGTTTTGTGGATGTATGCATGTTATAGGAATGGATGTGGGTGAGTAAGGCGAAGACAGAGAGGGAGATTGTGCATGAGAAAATCATAAAAAGAGTGAGTGGGTTTTCATATGCCAGCACAGTAAAAGAGAAGGGTGCAGTGTATGAATGTATAGTATTTGTGTACATGGGTGTCAGAGAAAGAAACAGGTGAGTGGATATGTGGCAAAATGAGATATGAGGGAAGAAAATTGCATCTATAGGTGGTTACCAAGAATGAGGTGGGGAAGGGTATAATGAGTTTGCTGACAGAGGAGAACAAGGAAAAAGAATTTGTCTTCTGTGAAATAGATTTCTGTTGGTGCTGCAATGATGAATTCGGAGAACTTGCTTAGTGTGTTGTGACTCAGATCTCCCCTGTCTCAGTTGCTCTACTTGTTTTTGTAACCAGCCGTGTCATCGTATTTTTTCTTTTTTTCAAATTGCCCAAACTGACCACAGGCCCAAAACAACTGGTACACCTCTAATCTCTGAATGTTTACTATGAAGCAGTAAGCTGAAGATCTCCAGCCCACCTGCAGGTGAATTAACTGATTCCTTCATTTACCGATGGGGATGTTTAGGACGTTGGGGAACAATATTGTCCCCTAATTTGTACTGATTTTCAACTGATGCATTTTCCTCTCCCTATTAAAATAAATGGGCAGATCAGAATAATGAACTGAAAAGACATAGCAAATGAGGTGCTATGGTTTAAAGATAAACTTAATGATAATTTCAGTGTTTAGTTTGGATTATTTAAACTGTAATCCTAAAACACCTTTATAAGGGAGTAAGCTTTATCAAACACAGAGGGACTTATTTCAGAGCAGGGTATCCATGTTTTTTGGTCCTCCAACATTTTCCAATGGCACACTTGCCATTCAAAATGTAACTTTAGCACCACCATGTATTGTGTTTGAGGGGATGGAGAGCCAATTACAAAAACACTGGAAGTGCCCTCTATAGTTTAATGTACTGGACTCAGGCGGCCTGGATTCTAGTCCCTACTTGGCCATGGAGCCAGCTGGGTGACTTTGGGCCAGTCACAGACTCTCAGCCCAACCTCCCTCACAGGGTTATTGCCATGGGGCTAAGATTGCAAGCAGGAGAATGATGTAAGCCACTCTGAATTCATAAGAAAAAAGTGGGATATAAATCTAATAAAGAAAATAATCTCTGTTAATGCTTACTGTAGAGTAGTGATTGATTGCTCTCTCACATCCAGAAGAAGGACCCCCACCCATTTTTAGGAAAAAAAACAGGAATAAATTATGAGTTAATAGTAGAAAATTTCTATTGAGGGATATTTTTAAAAATTATAGTAATAACATGATTATTATATGTGGCCTCCAGGGTGAAATGGTGAAGACCTGGTTCCAGTAAATCACACAAATTATTGAGCGTCTGTCAATCCAGACTCTTCTGGAAAATAAACTATGCACATCCACAGTAGACCTGATTCAGCCCAGATAGTGTAATAGAGTTGAGGAAAGTCCCTGTTGAAGAGGGAACAGCCCAGCATAAACTTAGAGTGCAATCCTATGAGTTCCCAAGGAGTGATCATGTTCTATACCTACATAATAGCAAGCAACTCCTCTAAAAGCTCATTGAATATCATCACATGTTGGGGATTATATGAGCAGAGCCAGCTGGAGCCAGGGTCAGACTAGATGCCCTGGGACACCCCTTCTGACTCCCTTTTTTTCCTGTTACTATAAAAACACTGCTGTGTATTCTATGTGCATCTGGGTGAGTCAGACAATTGCATAGTGTTAGGAATTAACTGGTCATGTAACTCTTTCCCTGTGAAGCTATGCACAAAAATCCGAGCATATCCCACCCCATCCTCTGCCGACATCTTGTCATGTGGTAAAAAGCCATATACTTGCCTTGTCTGTCTCTGAAAACTACCCTGTTCCATACCCTCTCCTTCTAACTGTACATCTTGGTTATTCTCAGAGGCTGCGGAGCATCTGGGAGTCTGGTCTTGAGAGAAGTAGCTCTGCTTCTCTCATCTCAACATCTGGAATTGGCCCACATTCTGAGCCTGCCTCCTGCCCCTGCTTCTCCTTTGAGTCCCAGTCAGAAGCCTTGGGAATGCCACTAGAAGTCACTCCCAGTGGAATAGGTAGAAGTCATGTTCTGATCATAACAGAAATTAAGAAGGAAATATAACTTTGTGATAATACAGTATCAGAGTTGGCATACCAGTTTTGACTATAGTTTTGCACTAGTAAACATTCTGAACTTTACAGAATGTATTGCACATGTGCACAATTGCCCACACACACACATACACACACACACAATGAAATTCCATTAGGATTTTTTTTAACTTTTTACAATAGTATAAGGTATGGCATACCATCCTAATGTTTAATAAGTTATAACATACTGGGTTAGCTTGTATGTAATGATCAACCAATATGCTTTAGAATTCCAACTTATCAGGAATTAGTCAGCATGGTGTTAGACCACAGTAGGAGCAATAAACCGTTTATGGTGTATTGACAACTGAATTGGAAGTTCTGGCTTGTTGCCCTTCAAACAAGCAAGAGTCAAGCCAGAAGCTAACCCTAGTTTTAGAATTCTGGTTTATCATTTTATTTGCTAATGTTTATTTGTATTTGTATTTTTATTTGTATTTATTTGCTTTCTAGTTGCATCTGACAAAATGCTTTTTGCAAATAAAATAATTTTAATACCTTTTCAAGTTTTGCCTCATTATTTGTTGGTTTGAAGACTGTTGCCTGTAAACTTTTACATATTAAAAATCTACAAGTGTAGCTTGACTCAACAGTGTAGAAATTTTGACACTGAATGTGAAATGTATGCAAGCAGAGACTATTTCTCATACATGGCAGAGGGGGAAAAAAGCCCCTCATATATTGTTGAATTTTTCATTTTGATCCATCGTACTATGCATTGTTTATTTTGTACATTGTTTTATTATATAATTAGAAATTGAATTTGTGTGCTGCCCAGAGGACCTAAAGGGCTATGGGGTGGAATAGAAATGTAAGCAGAAAAGAAATGAAAATGAAATCTATTATAACAGGAGCAGAGAACTATTTTCAGTAGGCTAAAGGGCCTACTTGATTGTAGGCAAACATATCATGTGCCACAGATTCTCGGCCACAACCAACCTACCTCCTACCTGCCTCTCTCTCAAATATATACATGAACTGGTATATGCACTCTTGCATTCACCCTTCCTTTCAAAAGCAAATTGGAATTAAGGAGTACTTTGAAAAAACCTGATTACAGTGGGAGATAGGTGTTCAGTATTGTTTTTAGGTGGGTTTCACTCATGGAGAGAGTTAATACCCCTTCCTGTGCTACTTTTAAAGATTTCTATTGGCTTTATTGGGAAGTGGAGTTAAAAATCTTAATAGGCAGGTAGAAGGAAAATTATTTTACCTACTTATTGCTGCAGTGGACCCCACAGTTAACAATTTTGGTGGGTTTCTGGAAAATATATCCTTTGTTTTCACTAATTTGAACTATTGTTAAAAGGAAATATGCCTTTGGTGTATTTATGTAATTAAAAACATTTTATACCATAGTTTAATCAGATCAAATTAATTTAATCACTAACTTGTTTTATATAAGTAAATGAGGCATTTAGATTGTTTAAGCTTGGATGATTATGCTGCAGTGTCAAGAATTTTGCCATTCTACAGATCTAAGTTTGTGTACATGATTTTTTAAAAAAATATTTTATTCCTATCCTATTTCTTAAAATGTAATACTATGAGATTATGTCTAACAATCTATTAATTCATTCTTCAGACTATATTAGGCTACTTTTAAGGACAAAATTCTTCCCAAGGCAGCTTTCATGAAAAATCTCACACAATAAAATTCCATAGAATAATAAAATATGCATTTTCAATAGAACATCTAGTCCAGATAGCACAAAATCTCTTAAACAATTGCAGCTAAAACGGACAACTGTTGAATTCAGGGAGAAAATAAGTATGCATTTAGGGCCTTCCTAAAAACTTTAAAAACTAAAGTAGAAAAGTTAAACACTTAAAAGCTTCAGATTATATTGATGTTCTCTAATAGCAGCTTGATTGCAGCTGGCTTGTATTTACTGGATGTGATATCACAGACTTACCAGAAAGCAAACATCCCTAAAAAGGCATTAATCTGACTTGAGAACGGGCTTTTACTAAATACTCAAGCAAACTAGATGCCTAATTAACTTTTTTTTTTTTGAGGTACAATTTCTTTTTCTAGAATATGCTTCAGTCCCATGCACATGAAAAATATTTTTTGCTGTGTTCTTTATTTGGTCTACAGAATATGGTTCCAAACCAAAACATGTCCTCCATGAGGACTATTTTGGGAAGATCAATTGCCCGGCATCAAGTAACTCTCTGTATACAGTGGGAGACCTGAGCCAAAGCGAAGGAGTACTCAGTGTTTTGGACTGCTGTAAGGGCAGGCTCTGGTGTAAAGTACATACACATCTGAGAATTGGAGTGCATGTTAAACTGGATTTCCATTAAGATATATTCCTGTGATTAAATATGTACCAATCATTTTAACAGATTATCTTGAGTGAGGCACTGTTGTTCAGATAATTTATAATGTTAGCATTTGTTCCCTAAATGTCTACATTTTCTAACTGTTCTGTTGTTTTTATTCGGTTTATTCTACGATCAGGTGGCAATCTACACTACAGCCGCTTCCATTTATGAGAAAGCACAATCACATTTATCACAGCTGAAGCACCTGCTAGTGAATACAGCATAGGAGAAAACATGAGTTTGTTTTACTTACAAATGCAATTGTGGGAAAAGTCAGATGAGTTAGAAAGTGGATATATGCATGGAAATGTCACTTGCTTTTATGCTTGTTAGGGGTTTTTAAAAGCTTGATTAGCTGTGTGAAGATAGGATGGGAGAAAAGAGTGGAGGTACTTATTTTAAAATGGAAAGAATGACTGTCGTGAAATTTATGGTGAAGAAGAAGGGGTGGTCCTGCTTGCTTTTGTCCTTTCAACCTCCAGGAGGTAAAGCCAGAAGTAGCAGCATCCATGATCTTCTCCACCCAAAAGTAAACAAGTTCCATCCCTGCTCTTCCAATAAATTAGCTCCATTGAAGTCAATTTGTGAATGAAGTCATTGAAGATAATCTGATTTACTTCTGAATAGATGCGCCTTTCCTTCCTTTCTCGGAGGAAGAGGAAAAAGGAGACAATTGGGAAGGCTTGTAATGTTAGTGGAAACTTTTATTTGTACTTGTAAATACAAATGGGGCGGGGGAGTAGGTTGTAGGAAGTTGAGGGAGGAGGGAAAGCAACTGAAGCTTCTATGAGTTGCCAAAGCCCTGATAGGACACTTCCTCTTCCCCACCTGCCCACTAAAGCCCCTCCTCCTGGGTACAGTACCACAAGTTTAGCATGCGCACATGCAGGCAGACACAGATACAAGGACAAAGGTGTATTGGGTGAAAAGTTCGACAAATTAAAAAGTTATGATATAACAGTTCTGAAGAAATCTGAGATATAATGACAAAATAGCACTGAGAGACCAGATTGGGGTGAGCATCATGTGGCATACCTGTGAATCAAGCATTACAGTGCTGATAAAAATACCTTGTGTAGATTTCCCGAAATCCTTGTATGGAAACTAATGGATTAAGCCAGTAATCCAGTTGCCAGTGTGTAAGGCCTACTGAATCTATCAAGATTTATTTCTGAATGAACATGTAGAGCAAATTAGTCACTGTTCTTTAGATAAGCAGGTCGGCAGAGTCAAATCCAGTGGTGAGTAAGATTCACCCTTTACTCTTTGTGCTGTTCCTTTTCTCCCCTCTCCCAACCTCTATTGGTAGAGAGAGGGAAGAAAAGAGAGATTGTACTTGCCAGATGTCCAAACTGATAGCTTGCTGAGGGCTGTTGAAATTCAACTGAGGCTACAGGTTACCCATGCTTGTTCTTTTTTTTTTAATACCATTTTTAAATAAATTAAACAACTTTCAAATATTGCAACAATTTATCTTAACTTCTTTGGTCCTTTCGGTTGCAATCTTCCCCCCCCCCCCCCCCGTCTGGGTGTGTGTGTGTGTGTGTGTGTGTGTGTGTGTGTGTGTGTGTGTGTGAGAGAGAGAGAGAGAGAGAGAGAGAGAGAGAGAGAGAGAGAGAGAATTCTAAAATGGGGTATTTTATAAAGGTAAAATAAAAAGGTAGGACATGATTACTTCATATTACATAACAGCATTCTCAGATCTACATAAAGTTAATATAAATATTACTATTTGTATTTATTTTATTTTATAACTGCATTCAACATTTGGCCTTGGGAGTATTGTCAGCATATTTTAATTGGTCGTTGGGATGTTCCTGTAGCAGTCATAGCCAATTGTGTTCATCAATACCTGAAGGCTGCAAGTTGCAGCATGGGGCAGATGCTAGGCATTCTGAATATGCAATGAAATTTTTTATTCATTTATGCAGTTAAATAAATAAGCCAGTTCTGAGTGCTGCTTTAAGCACCCTGTTTTAAACCTCAGTGCTTTTTCCACAATCCTCTGAGACTTTCAGTGTGGGTTTCCTCTGTTGTTTAAATGGACCTTTCTGTTCTTCACTGATACCTTGTTGAACCTGGCCAAGCGATAGTATGGAAGTTATGCTCAATGCGAGTCTGAGTATATGATGAAAACTTTTCACAACTTTTGGAAAACCTTGTCAAATATTGACAGATTATTTTATGAGGCTGTTTGATGCACCATATAATGACACCATAGATTAGTTTATAAAATAAAAAATGGGCCTACTAAATTAAAGTTGCCTCTCCTTTCTGAGTAATTCCCCATTTAATTTGTAGATGTACTACTATCTTCCTGTTTGTTCTCACCACTGATGTAATGATAAATTTGAAGCGCAGAATTTTTCATGACAACCCCCATGGCCATTTCCCCAAGGAGAATCCAGAAATGCAGGCAGCTGTGTTGATCCAGATAAACCAAAGATAGCAGTTTTCATCTCTACCAGGAGCAGGTCTTTTGTAAAGCTAACTGTCTTAGCTGCCTATTTAAGACCAAGCCACCCCAACAGGAAACAATATATTGTTGCCTGGAAAATTCATTTTCCATCCAGCTACTGTGATGATTACAGCTAAGTGACAAGGAACTGAAGTCTAAAGGAAAGTATAGGAGGAAATTGCACAGTATCCCTGATGGTGATGATGATTATAGTGGTGATAATGTGCTGGTGTGAGGGCCAGGTGTGGGCAGCAGCAGGAAGGGCAGAACATTGGGTCCTGGGCTCGAGCTCAAGCTGAGTCCAGAACTTACTATGGGCCAGAGGCTGGGGACAAGTCAACAGATCCAGATCAAAGGAACAGAGGAAACCAGTCTGATTTTGCATGTACGCAAAATCAGAAACCATTCTGATTTTGCATGCGTGCACGCGCGCGCACACACACACACACAGAGTCAAAGTACAGTTCCAGAGACACCTTACTGAGAGTTGTTGCTGTGAGGGTTGGAGCAAGGCAGGATCTACTCAGAGGAAAGGATGAACAGAAAGGGGCACACCTGGAGTGAGGCAGAAACAAACTGGAACAAGACAGGAATAAACCGGAGCAAGGTGTAGCAATGCAGGGGCTGAAGCACAAGAAGTCACCAGAATGACTTGCATTTCTGTGGCAAGAAGCAGCAGTGCAGGGAAGCGTTTTATGCTGCTCTTCAGGGTCTGCA